ATGCTTTTCTCCCTAAGATCAAGCCTGAACACACCTGATCTCTCAGGTGAGCTCTCTCGGCCTTCCAGGCCTTTATCGGGAGTTGCTAAACTACTTTTAGGTGAAAAGTCATCTCCACCATTGACTGTATCTCCCTGTCTGCTGGACTCAGAAACAGTTTTACTTGCAAGCCCTGTCTCACGGAATCTTGATCTAAAACCTCCTCATTTCTTTCAGTGAAAGAACCATCCACCGCTCCCCCAGACCATCCAGGCCCTTTATGTTCATCTATTTGAACTATAACATAATTTGGTATACTATTTAGAAATAGGCTTTTCCTATCTCTGCCACTAATTACGAACTTTTTAAAAGAGAGATGTCAATTTTTCCCATTACGTAATTTCCTTACCAAGACTAGGGGCATGGAGATTGGCTAACATGTAGTCTTTTGGTGCAGAAAAGATGTTCAGCAGTCATATTTTCTGTGTATGAAATTGTGGTACCAACACATAACATTTTCTGTTCCAAAAACCCACTTAGGTGTATTTGTTCAAAAATAAGTTTTGCACAACAAATAGTCCTCATAAACTGCCAAGCAAAGAGAAAATTGATTTAGCTATTTGTTCATGCCTATAAGAACAAAACTGATGAAAATGTTGATCCCTTGTGTGAATGCAGGGAAAAGATGTGTACCTACATATAGAACACACTCATCTTACATGGAGTGAAATGTATCAGCGTCCTTCATGAAAGCAGCTGCATATGCCATTTTCTTGTAATGTCCAAAGCCTCTCTGTAAGACAATTGAGCCATTGGATCTTGTAAGCACTAATCCTTCCTTCCTTTGTGGGCCAGTTCTGTTCTTATAGCATGCTTGCTTCCTTCTCTTTAATATGCCTTTTTTCTCCTCTGGGCTTGTTCTTTAGAGATTAGTGGATATCCAAGCCTCTGTCGATCACAGATCTGGTTTGAATGATGGATTGCAAAATCCTTTAATGAGTTTTCAAAGTACCCATCAAAGCTGCTGTCTGGAGAGCAGCTCAGTGGTAGCACAACAGGGAGCTGAAGAGACAATTACAGTCTGTAACCATGCTCGGTTCATAGTCCTGTACAGCTTTATTTCACTAGATGAGTTAAGTTATACTGTTTTCCTGTCCTGGGGTTTTGAAGGGAGTTGGGCAGTTTTCAAAACCATGTGTGATGGATACTCTGGTGATAATGGTTGTTGCGTAGCTGGGCTAAGTCTACCATATTATCTATGCTCTCCTCGCTAGGCTTTGAAATGGGCTGCTTTGTTCCTTGACATAAACCATATTATGAGGTTACTGTACTCTACATGGACTTTAGCTTTCCAGCTGAGGTTATTTCTTATTGCCTTATAGAAAAGCCTGCTATAATGTGCAGCCACATTATAATAACTAAAATCTTGAGGTTCTTTTTAAAGAGAGCAATTTTCAAATGTTAAATTCTTGCGGTTTGGGTGAGAGATACCTATAACTTAGAAAAGTTACTCTTGGACTACAACTCACAGTGGCCATGATATGGGATTCTCAGGACTGTAGGCCCGTAAAGACACTTGTATTAAAAGTAAATTTCCCAAGATATGAATAGGCCCACAGTCATGATCAGCAATTGCTGCTTTCCTCTTATTCATATTCCTTTTAAAATATTTCTTTTGTTATTTTGTTGATCCCGTACTTGGGGTTTTTGAGGACAGGGCACAGGTTTACCTGAGGTGTCCCAGCGATGCCTCAGGTAAATCTGAATTAATCAGGAGTAAACTTGTAATTTGACAGCTTGAAAGATCTGGACCTTAATGTAAGGTCCAGATCTTTCCAGACCACGTTTCGCAATCCCAGGTGTCAATCCCCATTGCCATCAGATTTCTTTGGATTCTCAGAGCCAAAAAGAATGGGATAGAACCCCCACCCTCCCCTCCCAGCCCCCTGTTTTGCCCCAAAAACTTACCATGTGCAGGTCCCTCAAAGACAGCTTCTGGTGCACCCAAAAGATGTGTCTGGAAGTTGGGGGAGGGGGAAGAAGCTCGCTACATGCCCTCCTGGGTCAACCTCTTGATACACGAGGGCATGTAGCCACCCTCTTTCCCTTAGGTAAAGCATGGGGTTTGGGGGGGGGGCTAAATCCCGGGAGGAACTGGGATTTAATATCCCAGATCCTCCCGGGATTGAGTCCTGTCTGGGAGGGTCCTCAGATGACTTGAATTTGTTGCATATAATGGGTGAATTCACACTTTGAAAGTTTATATCATATCAATACAGAGAGGCACATATGTGAAACAGAATACAATGTCTATTTTTTACTAAAATGTTTTCATTTACAGAAGCGTTCTGATAAAAAGGTCAATTTACAATGCAAATGTTTCTGACAATGGAAAGGAATACCAGATCTATGTTTAGAAGCTTCAAAGTGCATATACTAATTGATCAAAAATGTAGGTGATTTGGAACAACAAGGAGATAATTTCAAAGTGCTTATACCTGTGAATGAGTGAGTGTGAATGTTTGTGTGTGTTTAAAGGAGAAGTTTGCCTAGCATGTGTTGTAATTGCTATTGTGAAGAATATTTCAAAGAAGTATTTATGATACAAAATCTTTTATTACAGGACAAAGCTAGCACAAACTAAAGAGATTAGCTTTAAGTGTGTAATTCTTTTGAAATCTCTGGGGATAATTACTAGGAACTTACAATGCTTAGTACAGTTTTGCAAATCTACCATCGCTTGAGTGTGTTCCATTTTAGATCTGTTTTGCTTTACTTTCGAGCCTAGGTTGAGTTCTGTAGCTTGAATTTTCATTTCTATAACTTAAATTTGTAAAGGTAGAATGGCCAGAAAATGACAAATATTTTCTTAAACAACCGCTGAAGTGCTAAGAAAATGTCACCGCTTCAGGCTATATTCGGTTACGTGGGGATAAGCCTAACACAGATTAGTATGATTCACTTCTGACCAGATATGCTTTGGATAACACTGTCATTGTAATAGTTCTAATCATGTTAAACAAAGCAAATAATCACTGTAAAATCCACATGGCAGAAATGCAGTGATAACTAGACATCTCAAAGAACAGGGTGCAAACAGGTTTTGAGTCCTTTGAGGAGGTGGTGGTGGGATACAAATAAAATTATTATTATACATTAACAAAATTCTTTTTCCAGCAGACTTCTCTTATGTCTTAAATAATGCATAACTTCTTTTTGGTCTTTATCAAGAATCTGCTTTTTATAGTAGTTTCTCCCACTCTGGTGCCCCCCTGATGTTTTGGATCCCAGTTACCATCAGCTCTGGATGACATTCCCAATGCTGTGGAAAATTAACGTTCCAATTTTAAAAAAACACCTGTAGGCCATCAAATAGGGAAAGCCAATCTGAACTGTACTTAGTAGTTGTGATTGACAGGGCCTTCTTGGTGATATCATAGGGCAAAAAGAATGTCGTTGATGATGCTATTCATTTGTATCCTGCCTTTTCCCATATAATGAGATTCAAGGCAGCTTATTAATGGTTAAACCAGTACAGACAGACAGACAGAGTGGTACTGCCAAGAAAACCCCATGATAGGTTAGCTTTGGTGTCTCCATCTCAGAAGCAATTTGAAGGCACACATCACCAGCCCCCTGGTGGTGCAGTGGGTTAAACTGCTGAGCTGCAGAACTTGCTGACCGAAAGGTTGGTAGTTCAAATCTGGGGAGCAGAGTGAGCTCCCACTGTTAGGCCCAGCTTCTGCCAAAACATGCAAATGTGGGTAAATCAATAGGCACGGCTTCTGTAGGAAGGTAACAGCGCTCCATGTAGTCATGCCGGCCACATGACCTTGGAGGTGTCTACGGACAACACCAGCTCTTCGGCTTAGAAATGGAGATGAGCACCACCCCCAGAGTCAGACACAACGTAATGTCAGGGGAAACTTTTACCTTTTATCAACAGCAACAACATGATAAAAAATATTTAAAAACCATCAATTTGCATCAGTGTATAATTTATAAAACAATTGAACAATCTATTTAGTTAAAACCATTTAAAATTCATTAAAGGACAACATAGTCAGCCCTCTGTATCCACAGATTCTGCATCCACAATTCAATGAACCATAGCTTGAAAATATTCAAAGAAAAATATCTCCAAAAAACTTGATTTGCTATTTTATATAAAGGATGTAATTTAACTTTGCCATTATATGTTTGGAGATTTGTGCATCCATGGATTTCGATATCCCCAAGGGTCTTGGAACAAAATCCCAGTAATACTTGGGGCCCGCTTTAAAAAAAAAACATACCATAAAAAGCCCATTACAGCCAGATCTTAAAAGCCTGATGGAAAAGGAAAGTTGTCACTTGCCAACAAAAGAAGAGTAAGGAGGGAGAGATGGAGAAAACTCAAGATTCATTCATATGAACCCACTTCAGCATCCTCACAAGGGAAATCAGCTTTGCCATATTGAATCTGTTCTTATAAGAGACTCAAGACACTCCAGACAAATAACTGAGGCGGAGAGGTAATTACTTGCACAACATCAGCTACTGTGCAGTATCTCCAGAACCCTTTATTACCATAGAGAAGGATTTGAAAGAACAGGAAGAAATGTAATTGAAGTGCTAGAAGAAGTGGGCATAGCTCACTCAAGCATGTGATTTGTATGGACAAGGTCTCATGTTCAATCCCAGGTGTTTCCACTTTAAAGATCCAGAGAACTGAAAGAAACTGCTCTCCTGGATCTTGAGGTGTAATACCAGTTAGTTTAGAGAGTAGTGGTCTAAATGTATTAGTGGCCCAGCCCTTGGAACATTTCCTTCTGTGGACAGCAACTCCCATAAGGCCTTAGCCATCGTGGGCATTGGCTGTGGAATTCTAGGACTTGGAGTCCAAAAAAAGAACTTTCCCAAGGGTTGTAGTGGCCAAAGGAACTTTTCTTATTTTAGATCTGACCTTAAAAGAGAGATATATGGGCTTCTTTGTCTTTAAAATGTCACATTAACTTCGACATTGTGTTTTTCTCTTTCAGGTGAGCAGGAGCCTGCAGTTAGTAGTGATTCCGATATTTCATTGATTATGGCAATGGAAGTTGGACTCTCTGATGTAGAGCTTTCCACTGACCAAGACTGTGAAGAGGTGAAATCCTGAAAAAGCAAATCAAAAGCCCCTTTCACTGAACTAAAGGGCAGCAGCAGGGAGGGGAAGGAACGAACTGTCAACTCTGTAAGATTTGGACCAGTTGTGTACACATGCATACTCATATACACATGTACACACGACGCACGTACCCATATACACACATCTGGAATATTTTGCGAAGTCTAGTGCACTCCATTCAAGGCTGGTCACGAAAAGCAATAGTGAAAGATGTGTCTGCCTGGATGCCAGTTGATCAACGATGTGTGTTCTTTTCATTGACATTGGAAGGTGAAATCAAACTTTTTTCTAATACATTCATCGGAAGGGTTAGGGGCTCAGAACTTTGTAACTGAAGAAACAGACTGAGAGTTTTCTACCTTCAATGGTTTTTTTTAAATAACCCAGAAATATCATAATGTGATTATTTATGGTACATGACCGACATTTTCCCCCCGGTGCACCCAGCTCCTTCAAGAGTACGAAGATGTTTCATGAGGATTTATGAATGGCTAGTTTCTCCTACATAGAGGAAGCATTACTCCAAGAACAGAAATGCTTCAGGGCTGTGTATTGGTCTGAAGCCTTTTTCATTAAGGTATTAATGGAGCTCGGAGAGCTATGCTTCCAGGGTCTCCCAGCCAAGAGAAGGGAGAATGAATTTATTGAGATTGGTGATTTGCTTCTCAACTGTGTTGAATATGATGACAGCTGTGAGATTAAAAGTTAGCTAGTTCTTGCAGTCCTTTGCTATGTTTCTTAAGTCAATACAGACCTTCCCCTATTGTTTTCACATTACTGTAGACCCACTAAAAAATGCTGGTAGTTCTGGTCACCAGACCACTAGGTAAAGGGTTTTTTGAAAGTGTTTTTGATTGGGGGGCAAAGACCAGAAATAGCCAAAATCAGGTTCCAGTGGTGTTTCTTTGATAAGGAAGTTACAAATTGGACTGAGAGTGTGTTTTATGCAAGACCTGTATTGAATTTTCCTTTATCACCCAGTACCTTACTTCTCCCGAGTTCACTCATATTTCCTCTCTTCACAACTGATTCAATTTTGTTAGTAAACAAAAGAATATTCAGAAACATGAACTGCGATATCTGTATATCTCTCCTAATAATTTTGGATGAAGGACCAATAATCCAATTCAGATAAATTACTTATGTTAACAAGTGACAGCAAATGTGTATGAAAGCTCAAATACGTACTTTCCTCCATAGTTCCAAATCATGTGGGGGCTCCAAATTCAAATTCACAATGAACTTAATGGGGAAGAGACTCAAGGGCACTTTTGCTGGCATATGTAAAATATATTCTAAAACAGTGGTTCTCAATTTTTGGGTCCCCAGATGTTTTGGCCTTCAACTCCCAGAAATCCTAACAGCTGGTAAACTAGCTGGGATTTCTGGGAGTTGTAGACCAAAACACCTGAGGACTCACAGGTTGAGAACCACTGCTCTAAAAGGTTTTTTTTTCTTGTTCATGTTCTTGGATTACTTTTGGATGTGCTGTAATAGGGGGGAGAAAAAGAAAAGTTTCATCCACTGCCATACCTGTTTTTAATTTTATTTTATTAATGAAATTCCATTGTGACAAGATGAAAGAATACAATATAGAGAAACTCAATATAGGCTTTGGGTGAGGTATTACAGATTTCTTTCGCATATTTAGGATGCCAAAAACTCAGAAGCTGGATGAAAGAGTTCATTTTCTCATGGTAGGAAGAAGAAGTCACAAGACGCTGATGAAATCTCATATTTTGGTAGGAGGGGAGAAGTAAAAATCAAGTATGTATTTCCAAAGTTCAGCTTCTCATATTTTTTAATCTTCATAGAATACTGACGCATTCAGAAGACAGTTCACTCACAGATAAATGTGTTCTTCCTGGAGGATAAAATGGTCAAAAGGGGTGCCATTAGCTGCTGGAATTCAAACAATCTTGCATTATGCTGTAGCTTCAGGGCATGTTCTATTTATGCACATTGGTGAGGGCAGGAAAATTTTGTATTCCACTCAAAATGCTCAAGTGTTAAAGAGGACTTTTCAGCTTATTACTCTTGTAAAAGGGTAAGCCACTACTCCAGACAATAAGTTCAGCCATTTAAATCAATACTGGATAAATTAACACAACAGGTTGAGCTAAGAATTCAGTAGAAATTGACTCTTGTCTTTTCTCGCATTTGCTGCAATACTATAAGAAATTGTTTGTTGAAGGCTTTCATGGCCAGAATCACTGGGTTGCTGTGAGTTTTCCGGGCTGTATGGCCATATTTCAGAAGCATTCTCTCCTGACATTTCACCCACATCTATGGCAGGCATCTTCAGAGGTATATTGGAAACTAGGCAAGTGAGGTTTATAGACCTGTGGAAGATCCAGGGTGGGAGAAAGAACTCTTGCCTGTTGGAGGCAAATGTGAATGTTCCAGTTCCTCCCTTACCTAGTTTCCAAATTATGTCACAACCTCTGAGGATGCCTGCCATAGATGTGGGCAAAGCATCAGGAAAGAATGCTTCTAGAACAAGGCCATACAAGGCCCAGAAAACTCACAGCAACTCTATAAAAATTGTTCAAATACCCACCAATCAAACTAACTGAAAGAGCCATGTATTTTTCTACTTTTTCTTTTCCCTTTCCCTAAAATGTTGCTATTGCCACCTTAATTGTTTAATAGAAAACCATAGTTTTCCCAGTTTGATATGAAATGAGAAATCTGAACATATGAGAAAAAGAGTTCAGTATCAATATCTCACATGACGAGGCAAATGCCAGGACTTAGAAAGCCTGCTTGATCAGTTGCTATTATTCTTTTTTTTTCTTTTTTTCTTTTTGGGGGGGGGGGCAGAGAGCAAACAACAGAAAAGCACTGGTGAAATAGTCATAGAACTCATCTCATCTTTTCAGAATATCTCTGGGCTCAAATTCATGTTGGCCACTGTCACCTGGTCTGATTAGTTTAGTGGATACCATACCAACAATGGCAAGGAGGAATGCTGGACATAGTGGCTGCAGCTGTTACCTTTTTTACAAGGATTTGCCTGGGAGAAGTGGAGGACAGAGGGCATCTTCTCTAGGGGCTCATCAGACCTGACACCATAATTCAAGCAGAACCATTTTAATTTTCCCTATATCCCTCTAACACCCATGTATTCCAGTTTTCCTAGCAGCAGCTTCGGTTTCAAGGATTGTTGCCATGGGATGTTGGAAATACCTAGCAGTTAGCCTTTTGCAGGCAGAAGAGCTTGGGCAACAGAAGCCATTTCCGTATCAAAAATACCCACTCTCTGCACCACACCCAGCAGATCTCTGTATATAACTTTTGAGAAGGGGTGAGGGACTCCTCCTATAGTGCATGTGCTTAAATCTTCGTTTTCTTAGGAAGTGGCACAGGATGGTCCCAGCTATTTGGAGCCATACTTCAAAGAGGGGTTTGCATTCAGCCTTGTTGTCTCTAGTGCTTTGTAGCTTGCACTAATATACCTACAGCAATTTATTTTGCTGCACCCAATACGTTGTGCTCAGTTATATCCTTGTTATAACAGCTTATGAATTGAGCAACTCTGGCACCTAGTAATGCTGAGCCAATGATGGTCAAACACATGTTGTGATGCCGTATTAATATTTCCTACTCCTGCTTCTCTTCCTTTTTTAATTCCTATTCCACGCTGTCAACAGCTTTCACTTCCTCTGCTATATCATTTCAAATTGTGGAGGTTGTTAATTGGAGCATGCAGTAACAGTGTCCACGTGGCCATGCCAACATGCTGGAGTGAGTTGTGGCACTGTACCAAAGCTGTAGTCCTTTCAGCTGACCCTGTCTATTTGATGATGCAGAGATGAAGATAGGAAAAAATGTTCTAGTATAATGTTCTAGTCCTAACCAGTTGTCTGACCACACAACTGTACTGTTGTGAAAGACTTGGGGTGAGGATTGAGGACCACAATGTAAAAATAGTGAGGTTTTGCCCAGATTTCATGGAGTTCTGCTTAGAATCAACTGTATCACCTTTCTGACATGAATGTTTATGCCCTCATCAAGAGAAACGGCCTCACAGTCATTAGAAGCCATATCACTGCCACAGTTAGTTAACTGGAGTGTGCCTTTACTAAGAAATGTGTGGGGCAATTCTGGGTCCAGATGGGGAATTAAAGTCTTCCTTCTTACCATGTTTCTGTTGGCAAGATGAGGAAGTCAGCTAAAGAAACTGGCCATTCATTAGAAATTATGTATCTGCACAGTGACAAATGCCTGCTATTTGTAAATGAGGGCAAAGCTTGGAAAAGTTGTTTTTTGACCACATTTTCCAGAATTCCCAGTATTGACGAGTAGAATCAGCACTGGGAGCTCCCAGTAGCATAGTGGATTAAACCCTTGTGATGGCAGGACTGCTGACCAACAGGTCAGGGGTTCGAATTCGGGGAGAGTGGGTTGAGCTCCCTCTGTCAGCTCTAGCTCCCCATGCGGGGACATGAGAGAAGCCTCCCACAAGGATAGTAAATATGAAACATCTGGGTATCCCTTGGGCAACGTCCTTGCAGACTGCCAATTCTCTCACACCAGAAGCAATTTTCAGCTTCTCAAGTCGTTCCTGAAACTGGAAAAAAAAAACAGTAGTGTGTGGGATATGGCCTCCAAAAAGTAAAAAGGGAATGAGAGTGCAGCCCATCCCTATACATCCTTAGTGACGAGAAAGTCACGCTGTTTCCAGTGGAGTCTCTTCCTCAGCCACAACTGTTGAAACTATGAGAAAAGCTGTATGATGGGTTTGTTATACACAGGCAGCAGAATATAAAAATAATGTTCTGTTTGTTAAAAGGCTGATCTTTAGCTCTCTTTTGTAAAACAAAATATTGATGTGGCTACAAAGCAAAATAGGCCCTTTGTTTTAACAAAATTTGCCTAAACTAATTAATGCATCTACAATAGTAAGAATGGGATTTTTGAAATTAATTCTAGAAGGTCTTGGCATAACCAGATGGTATGTGATCATGGCTGTATACGAAAGTAGAAGAGCGCCCCCTGCTGTACGACATTCAGGTTTCAGATGCCAACTTTTAATACTATTTTCTTGGTGCAAGTACAGTAGAGTCTCACTTATCCAACATATGCGGGCCGGAAGAACGTTGGATAAGCAAAAATGTTGGATAATAAGGAGGGTTTAAGGAAAAACATATTTAATGTCTAATTATGTTATGACTTTACAAATTAAATACCAAAGCATCATGTTTTACAACAAATCGACATAAAAATCAGTTCAATACACGATAACGTTATGTTGTAATTACTGTACGATTTAGCCCCAAAACAGACAAGGGTTCGTTCTTTCTCCCACCCTGGACATTATTCCGGGTGGGAGGCAAACTGAGTTAGATAATACAGAACGTTGGATGAGCGAAGGTTGGATACGCAGGACTCTACTGTATTGGTTTTATTCTCAATAGAAATGTGGGAGCGGGAGCGTACTGCTGCTTATTTTAAAAAGTAAAATTGAAAATGAAGAAAGGACAACAAGAAGAAAAAGAATGTGGTACACACATGCACTTGCATATTTTATATATAATCTGTTTGTTTTGAGAGCATCGGTGATATACACCTTTCTTTTGCCATGAATGTATGTATATGGTTATTACAGATGTGAAATATCACGAGTGATTTTTTTAAAAAAAATACTACATGTACATAGTATCATCTTTCCTTTTCATTGTAGGCAACTTGATGAAGCTGAATGCCATTTTATAAATA